TTTCGTTGTAAATCTCATACAACTCATCGTTCCATTGTCTACGGTAATCCCCGTTGCCCACGCGCAGAAGCCTGTATATCTTCCGTAAGATCTTTCTCTCGAATACTCCAAGAGACGTCTCATCGAATGTTGTGATTGTCTAAGCTTCTGCGCCGTATAACAGCTCGGGCATGATGAGTGACTTCTAGGCTGCGGTTTTTGTATGTGGAGAAAGGACTTTACTCCCGAATTGCCTACTCAGTCCAAAGTTGCACTTGTTGGCAACAGTGATTCTGCGTGGGTTTTCCATGCTGATATTTTTATCGGTTCCCTAGTAAATGAAATTCTCCACTTTCCCGAAATTATAACTGTCAACAGTGACGTGGGTTCCAAGGCGCGAACGCGGTGACTGGAGATACTTCGTCTTGTCCTCGTTTACCACCAGGCGCATTCGCTTTGCGTCCTTATCCAGCTTGGAAAAGGCAGAAGAGACTTCGCAATTTTTGTTACCGATGATGTCGATGTCATCGGCACACGTCAGAAATTATACGCCCTTGTAAAATAATGTTCCTATATGGTTCAGTTCTGCAGCTCATATTAACATTTACATCATGCGATCGTAAATGCCCTTCTGCTTTCGCTTTAATTTGGGAATCCTTGATCGGGAATAGGAGTTCACAATAGTAATGATAATGATAATCATAATATTCAAAATTTCTTTACTCGCAATATACGTAGTAGGCCTTGGCGACCCCAAACGAAATTGCTTACGATTAAAAGTTGACTGATTTGTAATGCTAGGGAATGGTGTCAACAATTTTAAGTGTTCATTAAGTATTTTTTAAACAGCTTTCATGCGATAGTTTTTTGTTTTCGTTACTCTTTTATCATTTTCTTATTTGTTTCAGTAGTTTTTAGCCGACTTCACAAAAAGGAGAAGGTTATCAATTCGTCGGATTATTTTTTTTTATGTATGTTACCGCATAACTTTGGACCACGTCAACTGATTTCCAGGTGATCCCATACTAATTTAGTTTAGATCCGATCATTGGATCATGACAAAATTAACGGTGCTATTAAATTTTTATATGGGAATTGAAGTCGGTTGTGGTTCTTGCTTAAAAATTACTTGTTTATTAATTTTTTACATTGAGTAATTTGTGTACCAGCTCTTCGTTAATAATATGATCACTTCGTTTAATAAGATGTTGTAAATTGTATATTTATTTAAACTCTTCGGATTTTGGATAAGTGGAAAGATTTAAAAAAATTCCGTAGTAAAGCTTTCCCAAACACTTTTCGTTAGGAACCAGTTTTGTATAATTTCATTTAATTACAATATTTTCAGTCTTTACTTTTAGGTAGGGGATAATCCTATTAAAAATATTTTCAAATCAAGATTTTTCAAATACCTTTCGTTTGACACTCATATTGTACCTGAAACATACTTTCGATTGTAAGTCTTCTTAAAACTCTTTAGTTTGATAGCCAAATTGCAATATTTCATTTATTTAATCAATCCAAGACGGCCCACCTTAATGCTTAATAATATACATATGTACGCACACATGTACAAATGTATTTATTAGAAACTGTTTTTTTTCCCGCCAAATTAACAATTTTTTAACTTCTCCTCCAAGCAGTTTTACTGCTTTGAGATTGAACTCAATTCTATTGAAAAGAGCGCGGGTATAGGTATTCAACCATGAACGACCGTCAGCCACCACCCATCGTCCGTATCCGCTTTACATTTGTACATAGCCATACATAAATAATAATAAATCAAACATATTTGACAAAGGACTAATTTTTCGTTGGTTTATTTATTTTATTGCTTCATATTGAAAATACATTGGTGCAACATAATAAGCTTTCGAGTTCAAATTTTCAAAAAGGTGGCAACTCTCCTCAAAAATATTTCCAACAGTCATCTGTCTTAAACCTCCTTAATTTAATACCTATATTTTAATAAGTCATTTATTTTATCCGTTATGCAAATTGAGTTAAATTTTCAAACAGGTGGCAACCCTCCTCAAATATATTTTCAGCCGTAAACCTTAATAAGAATCTAAAGCTTCTTGCCGACATTGCAATATTTCATTTATTTTATCAATTTAACTGAGTTAAAATTTCGAAAAGGTGGCAGACCTCCTCAAAAATATTTCCTACAGTCATCTTTCAATTGTAATATGTCATTTATTTTATCAATTAAATTGAGTTAGATTGTCAACCAGGTCGCAACCCTCCTCAAACATATTTTCTGCTGTAAGCCTTCTTTAGTTTCGACACCCACATGGCAATACTTCATTTATTTTATCAATTTAATCGAGTTAAAATTTTCAATTAGGTGGCAACCCTCCTCAAAATGATTTCCAACTGTTATCTTTCTGAAACCTATTTAATTTGATACCCGTATTGCAATATTTCATTTATTTAATCAATTTAGCCGAGTTAAAATTTTTAAGTAGGTGGCAGCCCTCCTCAAAAATATTTCCAACAACTATCTTTCTAAAACCTATTTAATTTTATACCCACATTGCAATATTGCAATTATTTATCAATTTGACTGAGTTAAAATTTTTAAATAGGTGGCAACCTTCCTCAAAAATATTTCCAACAGTTATCTTTCTTAACCCTCTTTAATTTGATACCAATATTGTAATATTTAATTTATTTTATCAGTGTAATTTAATTAAACTTTCAAACAGGTGGCAACCCTAATCATACATATTTTCGGCTGTAAGCCTTCTTAAAACTCTTCAATTTGATATTCACATTGCAATTTTTCATTTACTTAATCAACCTAACTGAGTTAAAATTTTAAATTAGGTGGCAACCCTCCCCAAAAATATTTCCATCAGTCATCTTTCTTAAACCTCTTTAACTTGATACCCATATTGTAATAATTTATTTATTTTATCAATATAATTGGGTTTAAATATTTTCAAATATGTGGCAACCCTCAAATTTTTTGCGATATCATTGGTTCTGGTATTACACCGAACAATACAAAAAAAAATTATTCAAATCGGTTCAGCCGTTCTCGAGTTTTGACGACCGTGACATACGAACACAACATTTTTATTAATATAGATTCATATACCTTCGCACTATTTTGGCTGACAGTTTTCACCTTTTGCATTAACTATAGCGTTTTACAAGAACTAAGTATGCAAAAATCAAAACAAAAAAAGAAAACTTAAATTGTTAATTGTGTTTCTTCACCTTAAGGTCAATTCGATTTGATTTGAGATTTGTAGCTGCCATGCCTCAAAATAAGAAAAATCCAAATGACTAATTTTTTGTTTTTTTTTTAATTTTTAAATCGACTTTTTTTTAATTGTGCAATTTGTGCAAATTCTTACTATTGGCCCTTGATATACAGATGTCCAGTTAAAGGTTCCTGAAGAGATCCAAATGTCACACGCTGTCTAACAATTTCTTATATGAAAAAAGCGAATTTTTTTTTTTTTTAATCTAAAGGAGCGTAATTGATATGTAAGGTTGACGTCTAAAATTTCAAAATAATGTTTTTAATTAAGTTTACAATGTGTAAAATGCAAAGTATACCCAAGACTGCAGTCTCGTTATGAAATGAGACGGATACGACCACTGATTGATAAAGGCCGGAAAACTGGCGATTTTCGTTCGTCAAAACAGGCATGTTTGCACAAGCTCAGAATTCTTCCAGGTAATCTTCTAACAATTGGGGACCGATTTTCTATTATATCAGACATCTATACGCACACATATCGTATCTGAACTTTTTTTTACCAACTTCGATTTTCGATTTTCCTTCCCCTAAATCAACCAAATTACGCACTGCGCGCCGTTCAATTTCGGTTGGTCCCATACAAGTTGTACGTACATGAGAAATGTTTGTCAGTAAAGGGCCGTTTACATAAGACTTTTCTCGCATTGCTTGACAGTTCGAAGTTTGCGTGCCTGCGTGCGTGAATATTAGGTAGGCCTGTAATAAACCTTTTTGACTACTCCTCGGGGGGTAAAATCAAAGAACGTAAATCAATACGGGACACTCACGTTCTGCTATATTTTTTTCAATCACGTTCACGCATGCTCACGACGCCTAGTTTTTTAATCACGCACGCTCACGCAAGCTTCTTCAGAGACTTTTTTTCAAACTGAAACTTTATATATATATATTAAAATAGCATTGCATATAAATAGGTCTTGTCAAGCTTTTTAAGCTTAACCTGTTTTGCCATCTGAGGTGTTTTTTTTTCTAAAAGTTCTTTAAGAAATTATTTCTATCCTTAAAAAAAACTCCATTTTTGGAGGTATTCTCAAATCGGTCTTAATATTTTTCCGAAATATTTTGGTGGACGTCTTCAAATATAATAACTTTTGTAATTCCAGCTTAAAACCCGCAACTTTTTTGACGATGCTGTCTACTGCACATACATACATATCAAGCCTTAACCGCAAAAAATACGCAAGCGACATTTTGAAAAAATTTGAATTTTGATGCTCTAGGAACATTACTGCGCCAATGTGAAAATGCTCGATATGTGAAAATTGCGTGATTGACAGAAAACTGCCTCTCGCACTCTCACGCCAGCAAAAATTTCAGTCACGCACGATCACGGAAGTTTCGTGATTTTTCTCTCAAAACCACTCACACGTGAAAAATCGTGACACGACGTGTCACGTGAAAATCACGTATTTGGCCAATCTCTACTCCCAAACCAACCGCCGCTAAATACGTTTTTTGGTAAAATGTTTCTGAGCGGCTCAGTTCAGCAGTACGTAGCGAAGTCGATCAGTCTCAGTCCGTTATCGGCCCTTTCGCAATGGAGACTGAATTTTCCGACAGTGGCGCCAGAGATCCGCTTCAAGCTAGACACTCACCCACCGGGGTGAACTGCAATACTTGACGACGGAGTCCCTCTCCTCCCACCCCCAAATCCAACACGGAATTTGCGCTCCTTTACATGGCACCTCAAAGTTTCTTTCGCAAATGAAAACAAAATATTAAATGCAGCACATAAAATTGTCTCAAAACATTTATTCGATTTTAATAAAAATGTACCTTCGTATATACAAGCATGGTAAAAAAATTAAGTTTTGTTATAAACATCTACATAGTCTACTAAAAACGCTTTAGCTAAGTATGCATGGACTTATATTATATATATTTTTTTACTCTTCACACATACATACATACACTAATTTTTTAGAATAATCCAAAAATAATTTTATTTTATGTGTTGCGTGTGTATTATTAGGAAGAAATAGAAAGCAAGCGATAATCATTAAATATTAAATAATAGTTAAACTAAAACATAATATTTGGTACAATTGCACTTTTCAAATTATTCGATTCGATCGGCACTTGGTTTCGAACTAGAAAGAGAAAATTGGCTTATGGGCAAAAAAAAAGCGCAATGATCGTTTTATAATTTTCTTGTATGTACAATATAACTTGTATATGTTTTACTAATTGCCTACATTGTTTTTTGAGACACAATTGAAATTAGATTTCATACTTATAATTAAAATTAAAATTAGTTTACTATTAACTAAATTATGTACTTATGTACAAGCGTACAAGTATGAATCTTCCAACCCACTGGCTATTATCCCCACTAACTACCCCCCAATATTTCCTTTAAATTAATTTTCACAAGAATTTTATAGCTAAATTATATTGCATCTGTTCCTCAAATGCCGCCAGCTCGCCAAGTAGCAAAACATTTACATACATATTTACCAGTGATTGAGGTGCGCCCAATAATAATAGATATCAAAGGACTTCTCTAAGGAGTGGTGGCTTCGTTTGTTCGCAATTTTATGAGCATTTAATTGCACTCATATTTAAATTAACAGCGCACAGAAAGGTGCTAAGCAGTAAAGAGTTGAATGTAGAATGGCAAAAAGAGGTCGAGAGTAGCAGCACCTCAATCCTGTTTAACAGCCGCTTCAGTCTTGGCCTTCACCGCAGCAGCCTCCTTATTGTAATTCTTAATGTAGAAGGAGCTAAACATGTAGGTGAATAGGCCGGCATTGAAGGTGAGCAGGGCAGCAATCGGTTTTGGGAAATTACAATTTGGCTGGAATTGAATTTGGAGAGTGTGCACGAAAATGATGAGGAATTGGATCTGTGAGAAGAAAAATTCGTGTTGCACTTGAAATTTGCATTTAAATTCTTTAAATAGCTTGCAATCACTTACAATTTGCAGAATGGTAATGTACTTCTTCCACCACAAATACTTTTGTACTTTGGGGCCCATGGCAGAGAGCAGGTAATAGGCGTACATGATGATGTGAATGAAGGAGTTAATGAAGCCGAGCAGCGTGCCGTGACCACCTAGAAAGGGTAATTAGAAAATGGTTAAACGACGCCAATAGATATGATATTTGATATAAATTATCAAAAATTGTTTATTCGACAAACGAACTAACCGGCGAAATATTTAACTCCGATGAAGGCGCAAACAGGCATCAGGGTGTGGTGGTATCTGCAAGTTAAAAAAAATATATATTAATATCTGCGCTGTTTTGTTTATAACACTGTGGAATAGCAATTTTAGAACGCTTCATCAAACTATGCCCAAACGGTAGAATATTTACACCCTATAGCAACCATTTTGAGAAAAAAAAATACACTTCAAATAAAAGACCACAAAGATCTAAGTGTATTAAATTTGTTTCAAAAAAATGTGTGATTTATTAAAAAAATAATTACAGCAAAGTGAACAGAGGGTAAACTGAAGGCGATCCCATCCAATTGAGTACAGCAACTTCTTCGTGGCGCTGGCGGTGTGAGGTATGGCAATGTCGGGCAGCAGGCAGATAGGCAGTCAGCATCCTCTACGTATTACAGTCTTGATGGTGCCAGAGTTTTCTTAACTGCAGCCAAAGCATAACCTATTTCCATTTTCGCTAGCAGTGATTCCTATTTCGAATGTGTATGCGATAAGTACACAGTGACCTTTCAGTAAACCACTTGTCATTCTATACAACAATCTTCGCTTGGTTTACATATCACCTTCAAAGTTGTCCAGGTGGCTAAACTGTTTCATTTGTTTATGTAACCTTATCCTTCTAATTCTGGAAACCCTTAAGTTCTTTTTGTAACTCAGCAGAAAATCTGTATTTGCTGCTTGTGTATACAAATTAACATTTGTGGCCTTGTTGAAGGCTATTTAAGGACCATTTCGACACTAGTTCGGGGTCTTTTTGGTACTAGTTTAGGAGTATTCCGGTCTGCTTCAGGATCCTTTCGTAACCGTTTCGAGCCTAGTTCCCGACTATTTAATAGCCTAGTTCTCGACCATTTGGGGGCTAGTTCAGGACCATTTCGGGAACATTTAGGTACTATGTTTACTTGTCGTTTAAGTTAGACACTAGTTCGGCACCATTTTGCGAATAATGCAAGATCATTTTGAGGCTAGTTTATAAGCATTTCATTTTGGCACTCGTTAGAAATTATTTTGCGCTAATCAGCGACCATTTCGGGATCGTTTCAAGATTTTTTCGAGATCACTTCAGGAAAAATTCATGACTTTTTCGACCCCTCTGAGAACTGTTCAGGACTATTTCAGATGTTGTGTATTGGGCTCAACAAAATTAAATGAAATTAATTTTTATTCTTGGCTAGTATCTCCACTGCCCTCCGTGTTTCTCAGATAATTTTTGAACAAAATATGTAATGTATTAATTACCTTTATCGCTGCTTGACTATCAACAACCAATCTATTTGCAGTAGGCTCCAGCTCTTATTTCGTTGGCATTTTCTAAATCGTTTTCTTTGAACCATCAGTTAATATACTGAATGTCGTGATTCTCTAACATAAGCTCTATTGACAGCAAGTTCAGTATCTTTTCTGCAGCAGCCGTTGAAGTTGTCCTTAGTGCCCCCGTTCTCTATATAACGCTGTCACACATTTTATACATATCTTCCAAAGGCTTAAGATAATTATGTAGATTTCCACGGTGCCGTCCACTAAAACAAAGCCTCTTCAAGTTATATCGATCTCGCGTCCAGCATTTTGTTGCATACGTACGGCGTTAGTCCTTCCTTAGTCTAGAGCTTTTTCTATATTTAGCCAAAGTGAATTTAGTGAAGTCTCTGTGAATGGTACACTTAATTCACAATAGGCAATGGGTTTTAAAATGCTCTACGTAAAAATTGCTGGCTAAGTTTTATATATATGGGCTTTTGAAGAGAAGAATTATGTTTAGCGGCAATTTTTGACATTCAGTCCGCTTGAGTCCCGAGCTTTTCAGTACAAAAGCCACCCCAGATAATAGAAAACTCGGAAAATCCGGAAAAGAAGCTAACAATAAGAACTACGCAAACTGGAATTATTGTGGTTAGTTAAAATTTTCTCCTATTTAAAAAAAGTTATTTATTTAAAAAATCCTGAATTGTTGTGTAATTTTTTTTTTTTTGAAAGCTTCACCTCCGATAATCCAGAACTCGGATAATCGAAAGCAAATTATGATAAGCTAGTGCAAAATCCACTTAGGGTTTAACTATCACGTATGGTTACTACCGTTTGGGCATAGTTTTTTTCAGGTCCTCAACAGAAATCTTAAAATTATGCCACTTTGAAATCAACGAAACTTACAAATGCAGGAAAGAGATTTGACGCTGCTTTTTCCGCAAGACAAAGAACACTGTGTCCAGCAGCTCAGTGAGCTTGGCAATGTAATATAGCCATACTGCCCGCGCCATCTATCGGTAGAAGTAAAATTACAAATGCAGACTTACATGGATACATAAATTTTAATTCTAATTACCCAGCTGGAATTTAGCTTTTTCAGTTAACAATAACATTGATTTTATTCTTTTTTTTAATAACTAACCAGATCAACTAGTTTGAAGCTCTTATTCCGGACCTACGGATCGCCTTTTTACATTTTTCTGTGACTTTTACGTTCATGGACCGAGAACGTTCCGGTTTTGGTAAGCAAACGGGAACAAACAATTTAAAGTTACGAATGAGAAAGGCGTCCGCGAGCAAGGAAAATCGTTTTTGTGAGAAATACCGTTTAAACTTCTAGATCGTTTAACGTTAAGGTGAAAAATTTTTCATTTTCTGTGCAAGGAAAGTTCGCGTGTCAAGTCTTTCGTTGTCTTAGGTCGGTTTTCTGAAGTAGATTTTAAAATTTATCTGCCCTTTAAATATTTAATTTTGTTCTGAAAAACAATTTTTTTTGAAGAGCGGATAAATTTTAAACCTGCTTGAGAAAATGGCATAAATTTGCATAAATATCTTAAATTTGTTATTTATTTTTTTTGTTATTAATATTAAAATTCAAACATTTCAAACTAATGCAGCGCTATGGACAAATTTCGTTCTCGCTTCCATTCTTCGCGAAAGAAAAAAAGAAAAGATTTGTCCTCATTTCATTCTCTACCAGAACGCTCCTGAAACATTATTTTCCAAATTATTCTCCGAGAGAAAGATTCTTAGACTTTTGTCCCGCTTTGTTTCTTTCCAAAACGTTCCGGAGAGTTTTACTCCAGTTTTGTTCTCTTCAAAATGACCCCGAAAAGTTTCCAAGGGTTTTGTTCTCACTTTTTTTTAGTAAAAAATACTCCCTAGTTTTGTTTGTATAGTCTTCCTATATTTGGCCAATAGTTTCGCACTTGCTCAATTTGGTGGATCCCACTATTCATTTATTTATTTGTAAAAATGACTGCCTCACGGTGGTATTATGTAGTATGTAATCGAATCATTAATAATTATTAATTATGATTATAATCAACCGCCTAGTTATTTTCACACCGCTTTCCCTTAAATGTTGTAATATCTTCGCTGGTTCGTCGAAATGGAAAGGTAATACAACTAAACAAACAAATACATTTGAGCTACAATTTTGTTAATATTTACTAGTCACAATTATAAGGTATTTTACCACTCCAAATATTTAAGTTCATATTTTTTGCGTTATTATAATCTAATTATTTAATTTATTTAGCTATTTTTGAAGAAAAATCTTTTTAGCTATTTTGTTTGGCTATAAAACAAATTTTTTAGTTATTTTTTTCGAAGAATTTAACTATAAGCTTAAAAATTTTCTGGCAACACTGATAGCGGCGTTTTTCACTTTTTAGCGTTTTCGTTTGACGCTCTCTTTTCTCGATTTGGTTTTCCCCACCAAGCCATCGAATCCGCTTTTTATATTATATATCGCAATTAATGATATTTGTTGTTTTTTTTCATAAATCAATTAGCATTAGTTGCTTTAAATATGTGGCAAAATTCATTTTGGGGGAATTTCATTGAAAATAGGCGAATTTTTTCAGAAGTTTCGGGGAATTAGCCCTAAGATAGTTGGCATCCTCGGTATGCGTACTACAGGCCATTTCGAATATAGCGTTCTACATATGTAGTATATATAGAAATAAAAAAGTTCTGACAAATATTGAAACATTTTCTAGCGCGAAGTGCATACATGCATCGGATCCCAAATAATGAAATTGCCTATTCAAGTGAACCGGGGTTTATATTCAACTCAAGAACTTCTGATTGTAATGTCAATGCTATTTGTTGATCTAGAACTGAAGAGCTGCCTGTTTCATACCTTGAAAGATTTTACATATTTCCAGCTGGGGACAAAAAAAAATTAAATTTTGCCTACCCGCATAGAAATGGGATCTGTCGCGTAGTTCACAGGTTGGCAACGGAAATTGTAGTGGCCACCCCAGCCACCCTTGTAACCCTGGCAAAGAAAAAATATTTAAATATTTTTATATACTTGAATCAATGATAATTTAAATCCGATTAAAATACACCGCTCATCACCCGCAAATGCATGCACTTATACATACCTCATAGAAGAGCACCCAACTGAATATCACCTGCACCGCATTGTACACCAACAGCGTATTCTTCAGCTCGAATGGTTTACGATCGCGCATGTAACGCGGACCCGCATACAAGCAAAAGTATAAATAGCCAGCCAATATCATAACTAGTGGCCCGGGTGCGTTCGAGAGGAACCAACTCTTTGTGCGCATATCCTCATGCTCCACCAGAAAGTTAACCATCCGATCGACAATTGTATTTGTCTCATTCATTCTAATGGCCGACATTTTGAAAATTCCAATATTCTGTGAACTGTTTATCGTTGGGGCACTTCCAGGATGTTTTGTGTAGAACGGAAATATCTGCAAGCAAAAACATAGAAATGCTGTTAGATGCAAGTATTAATTAGCGTAAATGTGTGCTATTTGGACGTGGAAAAAGTGCCTAGAACATTTTTGTGTAGATAAGTTACTTACTTAAGTAAATATTTGATTGGGAAATATTTGTCTAGAGTTCGGGCACTTAAGAATTGATAAAGACAAATACAGTTAATTATACAAGTAAATAAGCAAGTTAATTACTGTTATTTAAAATTTGTTCTCTTTGGCTTTAGCAAAGCTATTGCGAAAATTTTGAAGTGAAGTAACTACAAAATGCGAATATATTTAGTGAAATTGATTGCTGCAAGGTGAATTAATAATTAATGAAAATAAGAAAACTATCTGGACAAGTGCGAATTTAGAATTCATAAATTCGGTTTAAATCTAAAAAAAAAAATCTCAATAAGCATGGATAATTAGTATGTATTACGCCATTAGTAGGGTTTTCTCCAAAACCGGTTTTCGAGTTATTCTAAACATTGCAGTTTAAAAAAAACACGGTTCCGGATTTGGAATTTAAGAAAAACCGGGTAAACAGGTTTTATTTTACATAGTTTTCATACAGTTAAAATGCGGATATTGGTATGAGGTCATAACCAAAAATTACAATAAAACTATTAACAGCAAAGATAGCTTTTACTTAGAAAGAACAAATCAAAACAAGTTCAAAGTTTTTTTAGATCAAAAGTAAGACAAAAAAAAATCAGTAAAGATTCTCGTTAGGCCTTATTTTAATTTATTTTTTAATATTTATTGCATTTTTTCTGACTTCTTTCGAATTTGAGAAATGCTCTTGCCGCCGTGGGTACTGCCACTCAAATAGCGGTCACCACTCGACAGACACTGGAAAACCTCCGAATGTAATTCTGCCAGAAAAAAAGCTTCCTCATAGGTGGATTAAAAGTGTACGTAGATTTTTCCTTTTGTGTCACAACATCAAGAAGCAAAATACGAATCGAAGCTAGACCAAACACGTAGAAAATGTTTAAGCACCAAACATTCATTTATTTGAATCAAATATGATATACTGATATAATTTCAAAACCATTTTTGGGGCTCTTTTAAACGAGAAAAATCCTTGAGAACTTCGAAAAACTCACAACTTTTATTGAGAGGTCAAGATTTATACGAAAAAAGAAAAAAGAAGAAGAATTGCAAGGCAATTTCGAAAATTATTATTTTTTTACCGAACCTAAAGGTCGCTAATTCACATTTCAAGGTAACACTTATGGACATTCGGCAACAAAACCAGTATTTTAATAAAAAGCAAATAATAGCAAAAGTTTAATGATTTTTGGAGAGCTTTGATTTATAGGGAGATCTGATAGACAAGTACTAGAACATTGTACATGAAGGCAGTGAGCTTTTGGAACAAAAGACAAACACATCGATAAATCATACTTTAAGATCCGACAACAAATGGCGAAGATATGACGAAAAATGTAAAAAGGCCAACCATACGTCCGACAAAAAAATTTAAATTGTGTTGCAAACATTTTTTAGACTTAGGGATATACGGCGAACTACGGTAGAATTAATTTACTATGACGTTTATGATTCCCCGTGGATTGCTGCTCACAGAAAAAATCTCTAGAAATTATGTTAAATGACACTTGCTCCAACAATTCAAAGTGGTGACATAAACACATATGTAAAACTTGTCCGTCCTAATTAAATTAATTGCTACCAACTGGTTTATATCTAATAACAAGTGGCAAAAAGAAAGAGAGAAATGCTGAGGATATGTGACCTTAGAATTGTTTGCACGCGGGAGTATCTTGCCATCTGTCTTCATGCTGGCTACTGACTCATTCGTGGAAAGTACTAGGATATCTAGTGCATTTCTAAATACTAAACTTGGTATTTTACTCACTGGATTTCTGAACCGTTACTTGCCAATTCATTGATTATTTTATTACTATTCGTTATTACTATGTCTAGGAACCCCACAAAGAGCGGTGTTGACGTAACTCAGCGGTGCTATCGATGCGCGATGCAAACAATTATTGACTTCACTGCCTTGGACCCAAATGCTTTCAATGCCGCTTGACTGTCAACGTGCGGGCATCCTCTCCTATCCAGAGATGTGGCGAGAGAACGCCGCACAGTGGTCCAAATGCGGAATTTACTATTCAAAAGGGTCTACAGCCTACAATTTTTTACGTATTTGCAATACCTTTTTTTAATGGAAAGATTATTAAATTCTTAAGAGCTTAAGGAACTAAAAAGAGGCTCAAGAATCTATTTTTTTTAACTTATTTTTTTTTTACTTTTTTTTAAGTTGAAAAAACACATTTTACTGCATACAAATGTTTTGCTTAACTCAAAGGATTTACGGCCTTATTCATAAAAAATAAAGTAGATTTAAAAAAGATTTATAAACAGAAAAATGTATGAAAACTTCATTTTATAAAGCTCTTTAAACCTGCTTAATTTTTTATGAACAAGGCCATTAGTCTTTAATGTGTTATATTTTTTTTTTAAATATATCATATTCAAGACATGAGAAAGCAAAAAAGTCGTTTTCCTACATACATCATACATATATTTTTTAAAGCATTTTTTAAAAACTAAAAAACGGGCTTAATATTTCTACATATATTTAAGAGGGTCATAATTTGCCTTAAGCTAACTTAGCTACAAACAGTTTAACTTTTTGAAGTTGATTTACATAGTGAAGACCAGGGATTAAATTAGGGATTTAAAATTACACCATCATAATCCTTGTTTAATTCTATATATAAAAAATAAACATATTTCAAATAAAGGTGTTTTTTCAAGAATTATATTTAAAATATTTTTTTATGGCGAGTTGTTTTACTTTGTGAGAGTCAACAATTGTTGGTAATTTGTTTGCGAAAACTTATGATGATATATATTTATAAAGGTGTTAAAAATCTTTATACGCAAAACTTTAAATTATATTGGGGACTCCGATAGCATACCAATCCAATAAAAAATATTTGTTCGGGAAGATTTTTCTTCAGAAATGTCAATCAGCTTCTCAAGGATTATCAATAAGGATAAAAACAAACGGATAATGGGTGTGGCAGTGCTATTTCCTGCCTTAGGAAAAAAAGTTACGCTCACATCCCGCCAATTTCTCGTGATATACCCACTTTCCACGCAGCTCACCTAGATGGAAATTAACCAGTGATGTGACACCTTCACAACCCTATGCATCTAAACAGAAATAATGTCTTACGGCAGAGCAAGCAATTGCAGAGTTAAATTTTATTATGTTTTTTTAATGTTTCCGCTTTTACTTTCCCAATTACTTTAAGCACATAACAAGTAACAAGTAACTTTTTATCAAACAAAAATCAGGAAGCTTCCCAATTAGCTCTACAATGACACTGACTTTACAATAAGCCTCCTTATCGTTTCGTCCACCAGCTTTCGCGCCAAATTCTACCACACATTTATCGTAACACAAATTTAAGATTTTATACGTTAGCTCATTACATTAAATGTGCGGTGCAAAATGTAAGTATACTAAATCTAGAAAAACGCTCCAATGTACACATTAATTTATTAGTATTTATTTCGCAGAATTGTGAATTAAAGCAAGAACTTTTAGAGTTGCTTAATCCGCTCTTCTTCCACGGCACGTCAAGACTGATCGTCGCCACTAAAACAGCCGCACAATATTAGGTAAACTGGTATATTTCCAATACTTTTTAACACCAAAATTTATGGTTACCTCTAGAATAATACATAAAAACAAAAAAAAAAAAAACAAATATCCATTGAACATCAAAAGCCGGCTCACACCGACCGCGCGGTGTCAATCGTCGCATATGCAAATACGCACCGCCAACAAGTCAACTAGTCGCAGATTCAAATTAAACAGACAAACATCATTTCCCAGCCAGCAAATAAACGAAAATTTTGCCAACAGTGCAATTTAGTCGTATCCGAAAACGCATACAAAAAACTCCTACAGTTATCACAAATTTTCGTATCCGGAAAACGTTCGAAAAAGAAAGCATGCATGCGTAGTCGGCACTGGATGGGCGTGCAGAGGAGCTGGCCGTTAATTGTTAGCTCCCACAAGGTGCCGGGTTCGAATTCCGTCAGGCGCTTCCTAATTTTATTTTATTTCTTTTGGATCATGAAAAAATAATCGGTGAAGTGCAGAAGGAAAGCATATTGAACGCTACATTCTATCAGACAAGTTTCAGATAAAACAGCCGAAAACGTATCTTTTTCACCACCATTTCCGGTACTTTTCTGTACATACGATTCTGCCGCAAACTTTAGTGAGAAAACGGATCATTAAAGTATCCGGAAATGGAATCGGTAAACGGACCTAAATCCGCTATTCATCGACTCTTTTTCCGCTTTCGGATCGGTTTACGGATTTTTTGCTGGCTGGGTTACTACACATTTATGAATATGAAGAACATAGGCGACTTAAGAGGTCGAAGAATAAAAATAAAAATCACAAATACAAACACACATATGTTAAAGAAACGGTCATACTTCTCGATATGTCGAAATAAATAGTAAACGGGGACAATGTCACATAAACGCGAGCAAAAGATGAAGCAGATATAAAATGAAAATTTAAAAATCAAGCCCAATATTTTATTATAAAATATCACGCACAATCGCACTTTTATTTAGCGTGAAATTAATAATTAAAAAAGCTACTTTAGCAATAATCGAATATTATTTCCACGAATAGAGTTGATGTGTTCAAAAAAAACAAAAAGAAAAAAAAAAACCTGCAAATCGAATCAAATTTAGGTTCTTTGCGCAGCCAATTCATCACTCAGCCGACATCGCGGCACACTGCACTAATAATAACAACAACTTACTAGATAATAGTTGTCAGCAGCCGCATCAGCAGTAGTGCGAATTTGCAATTTTTATGGGCCAACTAAATGAACAGAACAGCAAGTAATGACAGTGGCGCAAAGCGAAAAAACGCAATTCATCATGGCCCACGTGCAAAACGCCTGAACTGCTACAACACTTTT